AGCCCAGACAGAAACCCTGGGCTCCACGGGAAGGCCTCCTGGGAGAGAGAGGCGGACCCAGGCAAAGGACCCAAGGTCCCGGCGGGATTCACAGGTCTGAGCCGCGTGGGGAGGGTCAGGGCCAAGCCTCTACCCGCAAGGACGGAGCCTGTTCCTTTAAGCCTCACACGTACGGGGGGGGCACTGTCAGCTTGGCTGTGACCTCACAGAGCCCCTAAGCAGCGCTTTCTCTGTCCCAAGCACCATCTCCCTCCCGGTCCTGGCCCCTGGCATTCTGCACCCCTCCCAGCGCCCTCGCCTCGCGTGGTTCTTCCTCGGGCTGGTTCCTGAAGGTTACACGTGGAGACAGAACAATGGGCGGCATTTCCACAGCTCTCAGTGTTCGGGGCCCCTTCTCAAGCCACACGGGTTTCACGACCACCCAGGAGGTAGCACCCCCATTTTACAGATTAGAAAGCGGAGGCAGAGAGGCGAGGCGAGGAGAAGAGCTGGGATCCAAACCCCGGCAGGTGTGCGTGCTTAGCTTCTGGGCCACCCGCACCCCAGCATTGGAGGGAAGGAAAGAGGGCACTCGCCTGGCCGGGGGCACCCTGGGCGGGCGCTGGTCCTGGGGCCCTCTCGAGGCTCTAGTGGGGCAGGACGATGTTATGCTGATGTTACTTCCACTTCCACAGGAGGAAGCCGAGCCTTCGGGGGCTCCTGCCCCGCAGCGGGAGAAGGCGGAGCAGAGCGGGTGTCAGATCAGGGCCACCCAGCCTCACTGCGCTGCTCGGGCCTGGGTGCCGGCCGCTGTGTGGGGCTGGGCCCAGCCTCCTCTGCCCTGGTCCCTGCCCACCCACCTGCGCCTCCTGGGCCCCGTCAGGCTCCTAGCCCTGGAGGAGATGAGCGCGAAGTATCTGCACCGAGGACAGTGCCAGCCCACAGCCCAGCCCAGGAGCCCTGGTCCCTTCCTGATGGGCCCCGCCGGGCGCCCCCCCTCCAGCGCCATGCTGCCCTTCATTGTCAGCCCAAATGCCACCTTCTCTGCTTCCCCTTGGCCTCCACACTCCCCAGGGCTTTATCAGCCTCCTGCCCCTGGGGGCCAGATCCCAGCTTCCCCGCACTGAGGTCACACAGGCCCATGTGTCACCCACCTGCACAGGTTGTGGGCACCTGCGGATGAAACAGACAGCCCTCGTGGGGGCCGGGGAGCCAGTGCCCGTCCACTCCAGGGCCCGTCCACTCCAGGGCCCGTCCACTCCAGGGCCCGTCCACACCAGGGACCGTCCACTCCAGGGCCCGTCCACTCCAGGGCCCGTCCACTCCAGGGCCCGTCCACTCCAGGGCCCGTCCACTCCAGGGCTCGTCCACTCCAGGGCCCGTCCACTCCAGGGCCCGTCCACTCCACGCCGCCTTGTGCTTCCAAGCACGCCAGGCCCGCCGCAGGGGCCCAGACAGTAAATGCTGAAGGAATCACACAGGGGGCGGGGGCGGGGCAACAGGAACCCCCACGCACGGCAAGTGCGAGTGGAAGTGTGAGAACTCGCAGTGGGGAGGGGAGCGGGGTTGGCCAGGGCTCCCGAAGGCCAAGCGCTGCTCGGCGTTGCCCCAGCAACCTGTCCTGAAGGCACACGTGTGAACAGGTGCGCACACAGGTGGTGTCGCGTCAGCACCGGTTAAACCGCAAATGGCCAGCAGCAACGTCCATGCGCACGGAAAGGAGACAAGTGAAATGCACAGCGGGGACACGCGTCTGTTCCAACAACGACCGGACGTCTACGCGCTCGCAGGGGACGTGTCAGATTGAGAAAAGCGGACTGCAGGGCCCCGTGGGGCACGCGGCTGTCCAGGGGAGAGGGCGTGTGCGTGCCCGTGTGCGGCTGCTGAGAATATGTAGGCCGTCCCCGGGAGGGCCTCGGAGGAGGGGCGGGCGGGAAGCTCGCACCGTGTAGAATTCTGTGCCTTCTGAATTTTGCATGGTGAAAATGTTTTACCTGTACTAAAAATACACATGAACTGGAACAGGAAAGTCACCGTGGGATTCCTTCTGGCACCTTCCACTTGGTGATCGCAGAAAGGCACATATATCCACCCCCACTTCCTACCCCACCCTCCCCCTGCCTGCAAGACCTCCCTCCTTGGCCAACCACTGCTCATAGCCAGGGCCCACCTCAATCGGCACTTCCTCCAGGAAGCCCTGCCTGATCTCACCCCTTGCTGATCAGGTGCCACTCTGTGCCCCTGGACCCTATGTTCTCCCTGCCGCACTGTGTTCATGCCACTCTGTCACGGTCTCTCTGCCTCTCCAGGAGCCTGAAGGGCGAGGACCTGGAGGGAGACCAGGGTGACCCAGCCCCCAGCCTCTCTGCGCCGGCAGGTGCTCAGGGAAAGGTCTGCTGAGCAGACGCTCCCCCACCCGCCACGAGCAGAACGCTCCCACAGGGCAGGGCCCAATCGGTGGCAGGGAGAGATGCACTGGGCACTTCTGCTGTTTGGCCTCCGTCCAAGCCAACCTTCCCATCAGATTGGCCTGAAAGCCCAGGCGGGGCCATTGTGCGGAAGTGGGGAGGGGGCGGTGCCTGTACCTCGATGCAGGGTTCAGGATATCAGCTCTGCAGAGCCTGCCGGGGCACCCCCAGGGAGGGCCACCATTGTTGGCTGCTGACAGCTGGTTTGATAAATCGTTTTCTGCCGCTGTGGCCGGGCTGGCCCATCTGGCTAGTCCCCAGGGGTCTTGGGTCACCACAGTGGCGTTCCTGGTGTGTGGGCTGGCTGGAGCCAGCTCCTGTATGCTCGGTCCTCTGAGCAGGTCCTGCACCCAGTCCAGGAGCGTCTGACCAGGCTGGGCCCTGGCACCGTCAGGCCCACTGATGGCCCCTTTCGAGAGCTGGGGTCCGCAGCCAAAGCAAGGAAGCTGGAGCCCGCCATCCACCATTGCATCACAGCACAAAGCAATGGCCCGGTGAGGCGGCCAAAGAGCCAGCCCGGGCGGCCATGCGCGGCTCAGGTAATAAGTGCTTTCTGGCTCCGGAACATGATTGATGATGGCGCTCCGGCTGCGCTGCAGAGGCTGCCTTGGCTTCCTTTGTGGGTGTCCCTTGTTGCCCCGCTACCAAGGCCCAGAACATGAGCAGAGGCTGGAGGGAGCTCTCGCGTGACAGGACGCGAGCATCGAACGCAGCGCAGCGTCCCGAGACCGGAGCGGGCCGTGTGCACGCCGCTGGCTGTGGCCCTGACCTCGCCTGGCTCACATCCTCTCCCTCCTGTTCCCGGTGCTCAGCGCTAACGGCCTTGTCCGGACACAAAGGGGAGGGGCCAAAGTCATCACAAAGCGACATTACTGTCCAGCCCCGCAGGACGCCGCCCAGATGGCAGGACGGGGTGGCTGCGGTGGCTCGATGACACCCGTGGTTCCCAATCTGGGGACCCCTTGAGGACAGAGATGGCATCCCCTTTGATCCTGCTTCCCAGCACGGACCCGAGGACCGGCACCCCCGCTGTGGTCCCCACTGAAGGTTTCTTGAACAAATGGACGGGTGGGCCCACTGCCGGTCAGTCCAACAATACGGGGTGGACATGATGACCACGCGTGTGGTCACGCCGCCCCGCGGGCTGATGCTCACTTGTCACAGGGCTTACCTATGAATCCATCCAGTGCTGTGGGCAGGTACCTAAGATGTTAACAGCGGGGGAAGCTGGGGGGAGGGTATGTGGGAACTTTCTGCACTTTTCATTTCAACATAAAAAATTAAAATACATCAACGTGAAATCTGCCTGCTCTGCCTACTGCCCGGGGAGCCCTCCCTTGCTTGTCCGGGTGCTACCTTGACCTGATGTGGCCGCCGCATCCAGGAGGCAAGAGACTCCCTCCCTCAAGCCCTTAACCACTGCGCCCCCAAGGAGAGAGACGATGTCTCTGGTTGGGGAGCCGGGGGACGGGGTCAGGACAAGTGTGGCCAAACTCCCTTGAGTCTCTTTGGAGGTCTGGCCTCAGGATGAGGCCTCCTTCTCCCACCCCGAGAGGAGGGGAGGAAGGGATGCTGGGTGGGGAGAAGGAGGGAGACCTTGCAGCTGGCTTAGCAGGGGCTCAGCCGCTCACCCAGTGGCAGTTTCAGGCCTCAGACCTTTGCACGGGCTGCAGCACCCTCCCCACCTCCCCCAGTGCTGAGCACCTCGTGGGTCCCAGGGCTTGGCTCAGCCAGCCACCCCCCCTGCGTGACCTCCATTCCCTGAAGCAGGTAGGACCGCTCGTCCCTTCGTCACACACCTCACGGCACACGTTTGACGGGCTGCCGGGCTGCCGGGTGATCGTCTCTCCGTGAGCTCCCTGGGGCGGGGACAGCGATGACTCATCTCCCAGCCTCGAACCTGATCCCCTGGCAAATGCCTGATGTCAACAAACGCTGAGTGACTGGGCTGACTAGAAAGTTCGGATGGGTTTTATTGGTTTGAAATTTAAAATATATCATTACTTAAATCAAACATTTCATTTGGTAGACAAAAATCTTCTAAAATCTGGGGCGGGGTCCCAGGGGCGGGTGAAGAACAGATCAGTCCCCCACGGCTGACGTGAGCAGCCTTCAGATCAGCCCGAGGCCTCCGGCCCAGCACTGCTGACCTCGTTCCAGGGGCCGCCGGCGCGTTGCGGGGCGCTCAGCAGCATCCTCGCCTCCAGCCGTCAGATGACAGTAGCTTCCCGGCTGCGACAACAGCAAGGTCTCCCGGCATTAGCAGGCTTGGCTCAGAGGGGACAGAATCAGGCCCCGGCTGAGAACCAGCGAGTCCTCCCTTTGCCGCCCTGACATTTGTCAAAGCCAAACTCCCCAGCACGTGCAAGGCAGGGTCCCGTCTTTCTCGCCAGCCCTGACAACCCCCACGGAGCCCCGAGCCCGAGGCAAAGCCGCTTGGCACTGACTGAGGGCTTCGATTGCTGCCGATTTCGTAAAGCGCTCTCTGAAGTTCCGCCTCAAATATTTATGGAGTCTGTGAAGCGGCCCGCAGCGTGAGCCGTCCTGTTCCGTTTATAACTCCAGCGGTGATTTATTGACCTGGGGATTGCTGCGAACGGTCTGTCTGAGCTCTGCGTGGAAAGCCAGGATCCGCGCGGGGCTCCGGAGCTCCGAGGGCGGCGGGAGGCCCTCAGCTGGGTGGGCAGGGCCGGACAGTCCGCCCTCCGCTTGCAGGCGCGGTGCAGGGAGTCCTGACACCACAGTGGCCGCAGCTGGGCACGGTCCAGGGTCAGGCGTCGGGCCCGAAGGCAGGGGAAGCTGGAGGCAAAGCATAAGAAAAGGGTCTCTGCTTCCATGCATCCATAAATCTCCTCTGGTCCCACACTCTACCCAAGGAGCAGATGGCGAGATAACTAGCACTTATTAGCACTTTCTGTGCCCGACACCATACTCCTCCTGCACGAGCTCACTCCCTTCTGGTGCGTTCAGTGAGGCCCACGCCATCCCTGTGGCGTGATACGCGAGCAAAGGGGGTGGGGAACGGCTCTCACCCCCTGTCATCCACAGTGCCTGATGAGACCCCCGGTGGGTGTCCCCATCCAGAGGATGTCCTCTGCAAGTTTTCTTATTCCCAGCGACAGGGGACGGTGCTCTCCCAGTCAGAGGACATCAATGCCAGCGGATGCCAGCCTCATGACCAGAGCAGCCCGGGGTTCTCTCACAGGTGCCGTTTCACACGCGTCCACTCGATCCCCTCAGGAGGCTAGTATCAGGCCCACGTCCCAGACGAGTAAGTTACCTGCTTCAAAGCCCCCACATAGCTCACCCAAACCTAGGAGCTCGGAAGTGGCTGGCTCCAGAGGCAAGCCCAGCCCACCTGGTCTCAAAGCGCCAGCCTTTCTGGATCACCCCTGGCAGCGGCCGTACGCACGTTAGCCCTGCACGCCCAGCGTCTCCCCGTACCCAGCACCTTCCCTGCTAATGACAGGCAGGCCCACTGTGCTCAGGAACGATCCTACCGAGGCCCTGCTCAGTCCCTTGAAAAGTGGGCCTACCACTGAAATACGCAGAACAGAGCACACTTCCCACGGTCCCAGGAGGCAGTGACCCGCGGGCACTTCGCGCTCAGCACCCCTCCCTCGCCTGTGGAGGCTGGGAAAGGTGGAGCAGGGAAGGAGGGAGCTGTGTGCGCCTCACCTGGGCCCGTCCCTGGACACAGGTGCTCCCAGTCCAGCGGGAGAGGCAGCCAACACAGGTACAATTATGCTGCAGACCTGCAGCTGGAAGGGAGGCCCACACAGGTGCCAGTGGGGCGCCCAGGAGGGAGCCCCCGATGGCACACTGAGGAGTGGGAAGGCGTCCTGGAGGAGGCAGTGTCTGGGCTGCATTTGGGGGCAGGATTCTGTTACATGCTCGAGACCGAAGTCCTTGCACTCAGAATAATGTGTACATAGAACGTCAACACTGACTCAAGGAGTCTGAACTTTATCTTATAATAATAATGATGATGCTAGTCGAAACCACACGAAGCCACAGATTTTACAGGGAGAGGCAGTATGATATCAGCACGTTCATATGGTTCAACCCATGACGGTGAAGACTTCCTGAGCTCTCGTGATGTGCCAGGCATCATTCTACACGAGTTAGGCATACGTTTTCATTTCATCTTTAACCCAAAGAGGCCAATGATATTAGCATCCCATTACACAGATGAAGAAACAGAGGCCCAGAGAGGTTAAGTGACTTGCCCAAGGCCACACAGCTAATAAGGAGGCAGAGCCAGGCTTTGAACCCAGGCTGCATGGCTCCCGAGACTTCACTATTTGCCACGACACCCTGCTGCTGCAACAGGGATGACTGAGGGTCTTTGGTGGGACAGTGACATGACCAGGCCTATGTTATACAGGGATAAACATTTACTCGCCAAAGGCCTCCTAGCTTTTGCAGGATATTTTTGTATGTTTTTAGCTCCCCCAACACTTTTGTTTTTCTCTCTAAGTCCAACCATTAAATTATACCTCATGACATGTGACAACTTCAGTTACTGGCCTTCAAAGATGACCTTGTCTTGTTTATAGGTCATTACACCCCTGGTGTGGTTATTTAACAGATGGGTTCTCACCGTAGGAATCTCTGGCCCAGAGCAGCTCAGATATCCAGCGCGCAATCTGGTTGTCCCGGGCAGAGAGCTCTGCTCCTCCATGTCTGTGACACGGAGCAGAGCCAGGGCTGGGGACAGTGCAGCGCTGGTCACGAGAACGAGGTGCCTGCGTGGCCCTCCAGGGAAACAGCCCAGCAGCCCTCTCTCCCTCTGGTCATTCATCCACCAAGGCCTTTTCAAAGCTCCCGATGGACCAGGTTCTATGTAAAGCATGGGAGCAAAAATGCCCAGTGGACATCTGTCGTCTAACTATAAAGAAGCTAACGCGTCCTGTAGGCGTGACATCAAGTCCGATGAAGGACGGGTTTTCATCCATGGCATTCTGCGTCCGCGGGACTCACCGTGAAGAAAGGTGGGCAACGAGACCCTTGGAACCAAGTTTGGGTTCATCCATTTGTTTAATTTATGCTCCAACTACTTCCTCCAAATGTTTGCTATGGGTTTCTGGCCAGTATCAACTGCAACAGATGTTTGGGAGGTCTTCCCCACACTGACCTCCAGCTTGGAGTATCCAGGGAGGCAGGAGGAACCTCTCCTCTCCCCCCGACCCCAGTGATGGCCCAGTACATTCTGGCCACATAATGACCAGGCCAGCTCTAGAGCCAGGCTGCCCAGGTTGGAACCCAGCTCTGCCACTTACTGGCTGTGTGACCTGGGGTCAGTGACTTACTCCCCCAATGCCTCACCCTTTCTCATAGGTAAACTGAAGCTAATGACAAGATTCATGGGGTACACTAATGCCCTGCACCCGTACACATGGCACAGAGACGCCTTCAAGACATGGGGTGGGGTTTCTTTCTCATTCTGTTCTTGTCGGCGTCACTAGTATACTCCCCGAGACTCCTCCCTGCACCCTCATGGTGTACACAGCAGCCTCGTTTAATTGCCTGCAGCACCCCCAATACTTCACAGGCACCTGCCCCTCTGTCTCTGCAGGTGCTGTTCCTTTGCCTACAACGCCTTCTCCCTGCCTGAGATAACAGAGGTCAAAGGTCAAACATCAGAGGTACTTTTCCTAGAAAAAGAGCCAAGCTGGAAACAAGGTTTTATTCCTAGGTAATAAGCCTATAGACACGTAATTTAAAATGAAAGTCACCAGTCAGAAAAAGAAAGTTTCAGAAGGTCTGTGACAATAGCTGACATTTGTCGGGTACCTCCCTTGTGCCAGGCGACACCTCTCTTACATTCCGACACATACTAAGCCCTGCTTACCTGATTCTACCCTCATATCAGTGGTAGGCAGCACTGTCCCCATTTTCTGGGTGACGAGAGTTTGACACATTGAGGAATCTGCCCAGCATCCCCCCAAATCACAGCTGGGATTCGAACTCACGCCTGTCAGACTCCAAATCTCAGAACTGGTAACGTAAGTTTTCTCCGAATACAGAGGCTTCTCTGGCTCTGACTGGTTAGACTATTTGGGGCCAAACCTCCAGACAGTACAACTAGGAAAGCTACACACAAAAGCTATTTAAACCATCTGAGCGCTCCTGAGACTGTGAGGGTTTGTGGGACGGTCACTGAACCGGAGACAAGCAAGAGCCGCCGGCGCAGAGCTGCAGGCTGCATGTCCCCGCAGGTGAGGGTGGGGCCCGCTCGTACGGTGGCACCCGAGAGGCGGAAAGCCGAGAAGGACGCTGGTTAACACTACCGTTTCCGTCAGGATCCCAAAGCCTGTGCCCTGGGAATGAGAGTGGACAAGAGAGAACGCAGACCCCACACGCACTGACACAGCGGGTGTCGGGAGAGGTCTGCACCCGCCCCGCCGCCTGTCCGAGCTGGGGGAAGGCCTCTCTGGATGAAGAGAACATCAAGCTAAACCTCAAACGATGTGGTCTTCACACATGATGTCCGGCACTCACTGGAGAATGACCAGACACAAAACACATGATTTGCCCAAAATACACCAAATAAAATATAGATCATGGAAAGAGACCAGGAGAGAAAAGCAGGCTTTGTGCTGTTGGTCATTTTCTAGCTCTGGACCTGGTAACGACGTCATGGGTGTGAGGGGCCCCGAGACGGTTCACTGAGCCGTGCGCTTACCAGATGTACCCTTTTCTGTATGTTTTATACACTCGATTAAAAAGTGTGTTTTTTTAAAGAAATTGGGTGACAAATGTCCTCTCACCTCCAGAGAATCCAGTCGAGCGGTCTGTGCCGGCCACTCAGCCTCAGTAACAGGCCAGGATTCGGAATGCCCAGGTCTTGGGAGGACGCTGTCCATTTCAGGATTTAGGAGATACTCCTGAGCTGGAAGAGAATATTCTAGTCAAGCCTCAATCCAGACATCTACAAAATCGACAGTCTCTGTAATAACCTTTCCACTCTCTTTCCTCCCCAGATCCCCACAGCCCGTGACCAAGACCCTCTCAGGTGCCTTGAACTCTGCGCACCTCGTCCACATGCCTCTGATGGTTCTGTCATGGTCTTGGGCACCCTAAAATCTGCCTTCCTGCCTCGCCTCCCCCTGCCCGGCCGCAGGCTCCTTCCACACAAGGACCACCACCTCTGCAAGCCGACACCTGCCTGGGCGCACGGCAGCCTGCCAGAAACACTGAACGAGTGAGTAACTCAGCCAGTCCACGCTTCCTTCTGTGAAAGGTGAGGAGGCCGAGACCAGAGAAGATCTGTGCACTGCCTCGCACAGACGGGTGGTGGAAGCGGGACCTGCTAGAACGCATGCCCCTCCAACTGTGTAAACCGATCAGCTCGAGACTGAGGACACATCTCTCTTCTTGGATCAGGCACTAGCCGCTCCTGAGAAAGGTCAGATCATCCTCCTTTGGAAGACCAGAGAGGTGGGTGAACTCATCCAAGGTCACACAGCTGGTAAGAACAGAATCCAGTCACAGCAACTGTTCCACGAGCAGATCTCAAGAGCAGCTCAGTTATCTAAAGGGAACACCATCCATACTTCCTCCTCGTGTTGTATTGAGCACCTCATGAGAACACAACCCTAAACAATTGATTCCTAAGCAATGCCTCAGAAGCCCCACCCTCATGCTGATGGTACACTGAGCTTAAACAAGGAGATTCTGTCTGGCCAGGTAGCATCTTCATTTCCTTTTTAATAATAAAAAAGCAGAAGCCCCCCAAAATCGCCCATGTTACCACCTTTCTAAGTAACCACTGTTAGCGTTTCAGTGGCTCTCGTGACTGTCAGCCACACGCAGACGTGCACGGAGCAGGTCTAGACCATCAAAGTCATTGGAGACATTGGACACCTTCCATTTCCATTTTTTTTTGTATTTAGTAGAATATCACAATTTCCATGCTATCCCATGGGGTTATCAGCATCATTTTAGTGACTTACATTTCATTGAGTATATGAGTTGATGAACAGTTCCGATGTTTCTTTCCCTCAGTTTTTCGCTATTCTAAATGCCCTGACATCGGTGCCTGTCCATGGAGTTTCCCCCACACACAATTGGTTACTTAGGGTGAGTTTCAAAGAGTGTGTCAAAAACATGCTAATGAACCGAGTCCCTCGAAGACGGAGCCGGAGCTGCCACCCCCAAGGGACTGTCTTGCACATCGGATGCCTCAAATCTTTGGAACGTTAACACAGAGCAAAATAACCTGTAGCCTGAGCCTGGAGCAACACGCCCCCAAAGTCCTGTTTGCGAAGATAACCAGGAAGCGGCTGAGAGGACCTCTAGTCTGATGACCACTGGACTGAACATCAACAACACGGTGGTAGCTCATCTGCCCCGTAGAAATGCCTGCTATGGATGAATGGGTCCCCTTCCCGTTCTCATACCCCTCGCCTGTGCCTCCTAATCGGACCACTGTTCGTGCTTGTGCCTGTATCGGCGATTTCCTGAATTCTCCTTGATCTCAAATAAATGCCTCTTGCCCCTCTTGGGAAGACCTTTTATTTTAGGTGAACAGGGGAGACTGCGGTGGCAGCAGTGTGGTAAGCTGTCCTCCCGGTGGAAATGGGGAGACAGTAAGTAGGGAAGGGAGGGGGAAGCGAGCTGGGTGTCCCCCCCCCCAACATCGCCCTGCTGGCCCAGACCGAGTCAGAGCACCCGGGCTGTTCCCAACTGAAACCCGCACTGACCTCCTGCAGCCGCTGTCCGCTCAGGCTCCGCATCCAGGTGGCGGCTGGCCTGGAAGAGAAGAGACCTCGGCAGGTACCCTGCTGAGCCCGGGAGGGCCGGACACGGTGACTGCTCGGCCTCCCTGCAGCAGGGCTCTCCGCGCTCAGACCGCCCTCCGACAATGCAGCCAGCCCCCTCCCTGCCCTCCACCCCCAGAGTCCAGGGTTCTCTCTCCTTTTCTCAAACGCAGTCTCCAAACAGAGCGTGAGAAATGTCCAGACTCTGCTGTGAAAAGTGGGAAAAGCCGAGGGCAGCTGGACGGCGGAGTCTCCAGGAGGAAGACTGTCCGTGCAGGTCCCACTGTGCCCTGGGAGGCTGATTGCGGAGCTGCACCTGGGGGCCCGACTCCGTCACCCGGGAATGCAGGCGTGACCCTGAGTCCCCGCACCACCGTGTAGACCGCGCACGGGTCCCTCAACTGCACGGGTCTGGGACGTGGTGCAGCCATGGCGATTCGGCTGGTCGCCTGGAGGCCAACTGCTGGCTCTTTAGGCGGATTAGAGTTGATTCCAGACCAGAAGCCCAGGTCTCCCTTCCTCCTGGGCTTCTCTGGTGGGGGAGGGGCCTTGTGTGTAGTCACTGAGCTATCTTTCTTCCCCCATCTCCACTGTGACCTCCAAGAAGTTTCATCTGCCACCCCAGGCCTGGACAACTCCCCGCTCTCTCCTGTCTCTGGTGAACGTCTATGAATTCATCAAGGCCTAATTCATATGCCCCCTCCTCTGTGAAGTCTTCCCGGATTCCACCTGACAGAGTTCGGCCACCTGCCTCTCACAGCCCTACATGCTGCACTGTGACAACTGGCTCTGAGCCTGTCCCTCTAAAATGACTAACTAATCCAGTGACTGACACACAGGGCATGGGTCATGGCTCAACCACCTTCTGATGTGAATCCAACCACAGCGTCTCCATGACCATAACTGCTCACCCCCGGGCCTTTGCACATGCCAGTCTCCCAGCCTGGAGGGCCTTCACCCCATCCTCCCAGCTACTAAAACCCCTCCCCCGCCTTTTTTTTTTTTTTAATTCTTCAAGGCCTAGTTTGAGTGCTTTGTCCTCCAGGAAGCATTTTCCCAAGAGTCTCCCGTCTCGCTGCCTTTTCTTGCCCCTGGGCTGAGAGTCAGTCTCATCTGCCGCAGGCTCCTCCGACCCGAGGATGCGGTGGCGCTGGCTGTGCAGCCACAAAGCAGCCTCGCGTGCGGTGTGCTGACGTCACTGCATTCAGCGTGCAGTGGGGCATCTCCGCTTCCTGCCTCTGACCCGGGACAGGCTGGGGGCAGGCACTCTCGGGCGAACCCAGCTCTGACACCTGCTCGTTTCATGGTCTTGGTCAAGTCAGGTGAACACCCTGAGCCCTGCCCTCTGGCCTGCAGAACGGGGGTACCAGCAGCTTCCTCGCAGGGTTTTGTCAGATCGAAATGAGAACGAACGGCTCCTAAATGCCCCACAGACAGAAGCAGGCAGACGACAGCTCACCCAACAGCTCCGCCCCTCCTTCCACTCTCCCCCACACACTTTTGGGGAATCTTCTAAACTTCCTAAAAGGCAGGAGCTAAGGAGAAGGTAATTGCCTGGGTCCTCAGAGGCCTGTCGGTTTAATGAGTGAGGGGAGTGAGGGGCTCTGGGTCTGCTGCTCCGCTTTCCGAAGGCCCACGCCCAGGTCTTGTTGACTGACACCCAGAGGAACGCGGGGAGGTCCCGGGGGGTTCAGGGAAGAGGAGAGCAGGCGACAGGAGGTGACGTCAGCAGCTTCTGGCCGGCTCCCTGCATCTTTCCAAGGCTGTGGCCCAGAGGACCCTGCTGCCGGCACAGCCCTGTCTCACCCGGGGAAGAAGAGCTTTGGTTTTGCTGGAAGGGACCCTAGGTCCAAACTGAGTGCCTGAGTGTGACAGTGTTGTGCTGGGCAGTTGACACGGGGTGTTACTCAAACCTCACAGAACCCTCCGGAGGGACTGCAACCCCGACCTAGGAGGGCAGGCGAGCCCCAGGTGGAGGGATGGGGGTTTAGTGGGTGAACAAAATGTAACCTTGAGATATGCATTCTTGCAGCCTGGCCAGCCAAGGCTCAAAGTGTACAGTGGAGAGATAAGGTTTGCCTGATGGGTTGCAGCACCCCCCTGTGTGACTGAGTATTTGTTTGCAGGTGAATAGATAAGGTTTGCATGTCAAAGGGTTGGAACACCACCTCAAAAGAGATAATGGGCAAGAAAGCCCGGGCATGAATGGGTTTTATTTTTTTATATCTCCTTTGATGTTTTTCCACTGCAAAAAGCGAAAGACTGGGCTTGGCTGTATGGTCAGCAGAGGCACCATCTCAAGGAAATAATTCCCTTAAACAACATGTGACCTGGGAAACCACTTTGCAAATAAATTGAGCCGTATCCAGAGATCTGGAGCATTTGCTCCCTTGTGATGCTCCCCCTCACTCCAAACAGTGTCTGTTTGTAGTTCATTGCATTGTGCTGACCCCCAGCAGGCCAAGAGAGACGGCACCAGGGCCACAGGGTGACAAACTTCTGGATCTGGGGTACTGTCCTCTGCCAGGTGACTCTTGTGTCTAGAGAGAGGACAGTCACCCTCCCATCCCAGACTGCAGGAAGCCAGACAGAACTTATACTGGTAGAGCTGACCCCAGGCCAGACCGAGGGGTGGTCATTCACCCAGGTGGGCCCTGTACCCCTTCTCTGCCTCCCCTCCGCCCCCTAATATCTGCCTCCAAGGAGGGGAGGGCACCAGAATACAAACAACAAAGGCATCTCATTCTTGCTAGTTCATGTCCACAGTCTAGGTTGGGGTAAAAACTGGAAAAAATAGGTGTCCTGGGACTGGGGGTGGGGACGTGAGGAAGCAAAGGCGGCCCGAGTCCTGCACACTCAAGGCAAGTCCAGGGAGTTGGGTGCAACTCAGAGCCCCTTTGTTCCCACTGCCAGCCAAAGCCAGGGAGGTGGCAAAACCCAGTGTCCCAGCCGGGACGGGGGAGCTGGCCAAGGTGGCCTTGTGGGATGTTCCCTGCTCCGGAAGCTATGCCCAAGCTGGAGGAGAACCCAGGTGGGAACAAGGCCCCCGTGGCTGCTGGTGGCCAGAGATGCCAAGGGAAGGACACGGTTCAGCAGATGCCAGTCATAGGGGCAGCCCCACCCCATCCACAGGCCTGTCCTGGTCCCTTGGTGCCACACACTGAATGTCTGTGTCCCCCAGATTCGTATGCTGAAACCCTAACACATGCACACACACCCCTGCGTTGTGATGGTGTTCGGAGGTGGGGCTTTTGGGAGGTGATCAGGTCATGAGCCCTGGCTCTCATAATGGAACTGGTGTCCCTATAGGAAGAGACATGAGAGGCCTGGCCGGTGTGCTCAGTGGTTAGAGAGTCAGCTGTGCACTGTAGGGTTTCGGGTTCAATTCCCAGTCAAGAGCACATACCCGGGTTGCAAGTTTGATCCCCAGCCCTAGGCAGAGTGTGTGCGGGAGGCAGCCAATGAATGTGTCTCTCTCACACAGATGTCTGTCTTTCTCTCCACCCCCACCCCCCTGCCTCTATAAAAATCAATAGAAAAAACACCCTCTGGTGAGGAGTAACACAAAGAGACACGAGGGGGCTCGCTTCCCTCTCCACACAGAGGACAGAGCGAGCGCCTGAGCACAGGAGGGCGGGTCCCCAGGGGTCAGTGGACAGAGGGAGAAAGGGAAGAACAGTGCAGGTCAGACAGGTGGACGGCAGGCATGTGCCCATGGCCCCATGGGAAGCGGGACAGCTGTCTATGGGAAGCTACCTCTGTGAATCCTGGAGCCAGGAAGGTGGCCGCGTACTCGGCCAGCGCCACGTCGGCCACCATGCTGTGCACCGTCTCGGAGAGCAGGTGACTGGCCGCCCCGTGTCTGCACAGCTCCTGCAGCAGGTGCATGAGCAGGTGGTTCCTGTCCCGGCACTTCTGGACCAGGGAAGCCAGCTTGGCCTGTGGGAGCAGAGACACAGCCAGATGGGTCCACGGATGCAGGGCTCCCCCGTGGGCTGGGGCACTGGCGCCCTGCTCGGCACTCCCAGCACTCAGCTCCGCCCCTCCCTGCATCCCTCCCTCCGCCGGAAGCCCCCTGCTGTACCCCAGGGGCCCCCCACTGCCCTCTGGTTGCCCCGATGGGTCAAGGGTGTGGGCTTCAACTCCACCGCTGACCAGCTCTGTGGCCAAACTTCTCTCTACACCTCGCCTTGCTCATCTGTACGGTGGGCATTGTTCAGGGCACCAAGGACACAGTGCAGGCAAAGACTCACAAAGGGCGCCACGCAGGCCCTCAGAAGACAGCAGCCATTACTGCCACCGCGCATCAATGACTCAGACCTGTCCCTGCACCCTTTCTGCCCAATCACGACGACCCCTCTTCTTGCTCCTCCTGTTCCAGTCACACTGGCCCGTCCCCCCAGCCCCAACCCCAGAACTTCCTCATCACTCCCTGTGGCTCCCACACGTCCCAAGCCCAGAAAGGCCTGAGCAGACCTGTGCAGAGGCCAGACCGGCTGCCACCGCCCTGATACTCTGGGCCTGGTGTCCCTCTGCGCCCCGTGTCCCTCTGTGCCCCGTGTCCCTCTGCGCCCCGCTTCCTCTCCCTGCAGTTCATTTTACATTGTGTGTCTGTCTCCCACACAGCCTGAGAGTTCCTCAAGGTCAAGGCTGGGGCCCTGGCAGTGTCCCTGTGTCATTGCCGGGCACTGTGTGGCCCTCGGGACAGATGTGCTACATGAATGGCATGAGTGTGTGCTCCTCCCACCACGACATGTCTGGAGAAGGTGACAGAATTGTCATCTCAAGGGTGGCCCCCCAGTGCAGCCTCCTGCTCCACCCGCGGAGGAGGTGACGGTCACGGCCCTCCCAGAGGTCCAGGGTCGTCTGCACAGCAGTTCCCAGGCGGTGGTCCCGGGGCGCCCAGCAGTGACAGCCGGCAGGACAACAGGATGGTCTGATGTGGAGGCGGGGACCCCCAGCACCTCGGGGTGGGCTCACCACCAGGCCTCACCATCCAGCGCATTAGTTGAGCATCCACCACGTGTAACTTCCCCTGTGACCGTGACTCTACTGGGTTCTTCACATCTTCCATGGTGGCTGAGGGGAGTCCAGCCTCTGACATCAGACGGAGTTGGGTTCAAATGCTGGCTCCTCTACTGAGTAGCTCTGTGTGACCATGGACAAGTCGCTACGTGTCTCTGAGCCTCAGTTTCCCCATCTGTAAAATGGGGCTCATGTCTCCTTCCTGACATGTTGTTGTGGGACATGGCAGGCATTCCATAAGTGGTGGCTGTCATCATTACGAAGCCCCCCAAGATCTCCATGCCAGGTCAGTGACCACAATCCCATTTGTCGATGAGAAAACAGCTGTGAGAGGTGAAACGTCACCCCTAAGGAGAAGCTGGATGTGGAACCTAGGTCACCATGGCTCCTCGGTCCAGTCGGCCCTCCTGGATCAGGCCTTGCCTCGCGGTGGCGTGGTGCCGGTGCCGTGGTATCATTTTTATCTCCCTTTGTGTGTAAAGCGCTTCAGGGTACGCAAGGGGTTGTGGTCCTCATCTGAGTACACGGTACACAGCAGGCGCTCAAACTCAGAGGACGGAGCGTGGGAACCTCGCGTGTTCGAGAGCTTCACAGTTTCCTCTGCACTTTCCGTGGGGGGCATTGGGGTGTGTCAGACCAGCTGTGAGAACGGCCGCAGGGAAGACCGTCCAGCAGGAAGGCCTGTCATCTCACTTCACAGACAAAAACCCGAGGCCCAGGCAGACGCGGGATTCTGGGTGGAAACGCGTGGAGGAACCGTGCGGCTCTAGTTCTGCCGGCGCGGCTCTGGTTCCGCCGGTGCGGCTCTACTTCTGCCGGTGCGGCTCTGGTTCCGCCGGTGCGGCTCTGGTTCCGCCGGTGCGGCTCTACTTCTGCCGGTGCGGCTCTGGTTCTGCCGGTGCGGCTCTGGTTCCGCCGGTGCGGCTCTACTTTCTGCTGGTGCGGCTCTGGTTCTGCCGGTGCAGCTCTGGTTCTGCCGGTGCGGCTCTGGTTCCGCCGGTGCGGCTCTACTTCTGCCGGTGCGGCTCTGGTTCCGCCGGTGCGGCTCTGGTTCCGCCGGTGCGGCTCTACTTCTGCCGGCGCAGCTCTGGTTCCGCTGGTGCGGCTCTGGTTCTGCCGGTGCGGCTCTGGTTCCGCCGGTGCGGCTCTACTTCTGCCGGTGCGGCTCTGGTTCCGCCGGTGCGGCTCTGGTTCTGCCGGTGCGGCTCTACTTCTGCCGGCGCAGCTCTGGTTCCGCTGGTGCGGCTCTGGTTCTGCCGGTGCGGCTCTACTTCTGCCGGTGCGGCTCTGGTTCTGCCGGTGCGGCTCTGGTTCCGCCGGTGCGGCTCTGGTTCTGCCGGTGCGGCTCTACTTCTGCCGGTGCGGCTCTGGTTCCGCCAGTGCGGCTCTGGTTCCGCCGGTGCGGCTCTGATTCTGCCGGTGCGGCTCTATTTCTGATTGTGTGGCTCACGAGACCCAGGTTAAGAGGGGGCAGGACTCGGTAGATCAGTGGGGTTCCAGGGCTTAACCCAGGCCAGTGACCCTTCTTCTCCCCCTCACCCAGGGAACAGAAAGCGCAGGCCCTCCAGGTCCACTTCCCAAATCCTGGTGCTGATTTTGAAACTGAACGTGTCATCACAATCAAAGCACACGCCTGACTAGCAAAGAACCCATGAAACCCTGCAGGCCAGAAATACCATTTCCGCGAATTGTTTTAAAGAAATGTCTAGATTTGTGGGGAAACCTTTCTAATAAAAACTGTGCATCGTGGTGTTTATATACCCTAATGCAGAGAGAGAGTGGGAGAAAAGAGAGAAGGAAGGAAGGGAGGGAGGGAGGGAGGGAGGGAGGGAGGGAGGGAGGAGGGAGGAGGGAGGGAGGGAGGAGGGAGGAGGAGGGAGGGAGGGAGGGAGGGAGGGAGGGAGGGAGGGAGGGAGGAGGGAGGAGGGAGGGAGACGGACTTGAACACCCACCAGGGGAAGGTGGTTTGTGCACTGTGGTGTCTCATGGTTTGTCCTCTGGTGTGAACCACAGCTTCAAAGTTTGGTAAGAACAGGACACCCCAGGATACATTCTCAAATGGGATGAGCAGGACCCAGACATACAGGTAGAGTTGGGTCCCAGACACGTGTGAAATACGCAGGAAAGAACCCCACGAAAACGCTCGATTCAAATGGGGTTTGGGGGGACTTTGTCTCTTTCCTTCTTCCTTCCAGTACTTCTACAGAACAGAGATGGAGCACATCTCTCACGGGAAAATCCTAAACCTTTTTTGAAGGAGACCTTTCATACTGATGGCACAAATGTGTTACCTTCAAAGGCGTCACGGCCAAATTTGCTTCTCGTTGCTTTTTCTGAAGTTCGTCAACCTGGAAGAGAAGAGCGTTGCTGACAAGGCTGAAGCACTGTTCACACAGCCCCTACCTGGCCAGGCGAGCCGGGCTCCGTGGGGAGCAAGGGCCACCCATCACCTGCCCCACAGGACCGCGGAGGAAGGATGCTCTGAGCGCAGGAGAATGAGCTCCGCCTGGCCAGCGCCACCCCCTGTTCCTTCAGGGAAGGAAGCTTCCACGTCCCCACACAGAGGTCAGAGTCTTCCAGTTCCCTGGATCCTAACCCAGCCCAGCCACTCACTAGAACTCTGACCTTGTGCAAGTCACTGTGCTCTGCCTCTGTGTTCTCATCTGTAAGGTGTGGGTAATATTAGTGCCATCTGATGGGGATGATTGTGGCGTGGGCTCCGTGAAGGGTCCCTGAAAGTGCTTAGGGCAAGGCCTGGCATGCAGTCAGCACCCAGGAACTGTAAGCCAGGGTTACCTCCGGGGCAGAGGTGCCAGGCACGGGAGAGGCCACCTTGGGCCTTCCAGCCTAGCCCAGCGCCCAGCTGAGTACCACCAAGTGATCCCACGATGTCTTGTGGAGCAGAATCGCCCGGCCAAGCCCTACCCGAACGCCTGACCCACAGTCACAGGATATAACAAGACGGGTGTTCCAAGTTTCTGTCCACCCTCCTGTCCCCTCTGCAGTCAGTACAAGAAAGCTGAGTGAGCAAAAGTCTTTCTTCCCCCTCTACGACCCTTAGCCTACATCCCACAATCAGAATGCACATGTGTACACATGTGAAACTCCACTCTACAGAACGCGGGCCATCGTGTTTTTGTCATTTGATTGATTGATTTTTGTTAATCCTGACCCAAGGATATTTTTCCATTGGTTTTTGTAGACAGAGAGGAAGGAAGGAAAGGAGAGAGAGAGAGAGATCGATGTGAAAGAGACACATTGATTGGCCGCCTCCCACACAACCCTGACCAAACCTACAACCCAGGTACGTGCCCTTGACCAGAATCGAACCTGGGACCCTTCGGTCCACCGGCCGACGCTCTAACCCCCGACCCAAACTGGCCAGGGCTTGTCATTTGATTTACATTTGGGGTGTTATTTTCACGTCAACACATATGGATCATATTCTCTTATGCATATTATTTCATTGGGAGGCTGAAACACAATTTAGTTAACTAATTCTTATTTGTGAAAGTGTACATTGCTTCTGCTTCATGACTTCACAAGCAAGGCTTCCGTACATTTATTTACATTTGCTTCTGTACATTTATTTGGGCTGCTCTCCGAGCACACTCGCGTCAGTGCCAGCCCCGCGCAGGCCGCGGGCACGTGAGACACGCGCGAGGACCGCAGGCCCGGGTGAAGTCTTCTCTGCCTCGTTCAGAAAGCAGCATTAACCTGCGGCTGGGAACTGTGTGCGGGGCCATTTTCCCTTAACACGTGGATGAGAAGAAGGTGAAAAGACACGAGAATAAGAGAATATTTGCAAGTCAGGTATCTGATAGGGACTTGTATCTAGAATATATAACAAATTCTCACAACTCAACAACAACAACAAGCAATTACAAAATGCACAAAGGACTGGAATAGATGTTTCTCCAAAGATCTACAAGTTACCAATAAGCACATTTTAACAAATTGAGATCATTATAGATTTATATGCAGTTGTAAGAAATCATACAGAGCCCGGCCAGTGCGGCCCCTGCACCAAGAGTTTGCCAGTTCGATTCCCGGTCAGGCACCTGCCCAGGTTGTGGGCCAAATCCCCAGTGGAGGGCATGCAGGAGGCGGCCAATTGATGTTCTCTCTCATTGACGTTTCTCTCTCTCTCTTCCTCTCCTTTCCTCTCTCTCTCAAATCAATAAAGAAAAAAAACATTAGAAAAAATCACAGAGAGGTTCCTTGTATATTTTGCTGGTCTCTTCCAATGGGAACATTTTGTAAAACTGTAGTGTATGACAACCATGTAATGTCAATTATATTGATATTGATACAATCCACAAATTTTATTCAGGTTTCTCCAGTTTAATTTGTACATGTGTGTATGTCTGTGTCTGTGTATGTCTGTGTGTGTCTGGGTGTGTGCGTCTGTGTGTGTCTGTGTATGTCTGTGTGCACGTCTGTCTTTGTATATGTGTCTGTGTTTATGTCTGTGTGTGTCTGTCTTTGTACGTATGTCTCTGTGTATGTTTTTTTGTGTATGTCTGTGTGTGTCTGTTTTTGTGTGTATGTCTCTGTGTGCATGTTTGTGTATGTCTGTGTGTGTCTGTCTTTGTGTGTGTGCGTTTGTGTTTGTGTGTCTGTCTTTGTGTGTCTGTGTGCTGTCTGTGTGTCTGTAGTGTCTGTGTATGTCTGTGTGTCTGTGGTCTGTAGTGTCTGTCTGTGTATCTGTGTGCTGTGTGTCTGTGTGTAGTATCTGTCTGTAGTGTCTGTGTGTCTGTGTATGTCTGTGTGTCTGTAGTGTCTGTCTATGTGTCTGTCTGTAGTGTCTGTCTGTAGTGTCTGTGTGTCTGTCTGTAGTGTCTGTCTGTAGTGTCTCTCTGTGTGTCTGTGTGCTGTCTGTGTGTCTGTCTGTAGTGTCTGTCTGTAGTGTCTGTCTGTGTGTCTGTGTGCTCTCTGTGTGTCTGTAGTGTTTGTCTGTAGTGTTTGTGTGTGTGTCTGTAGTGTCTGTCTGTAGTGTCTGTCTGCATGTCTGTGTATGTCTGTGTCTCTGTAGTGTCTGTCTGTAGTGTCTCTCTGTGTGTCTGTGTGCTGTCTGTGTGTCTGTAGTGTCTGTCTGTAGTGTCTGTCTGTGTGTCTGTGTATGTCTGTGTGTCTGTAGTGTCTGTCTGTAGTGTCTCTCTGTGTGTCTGTGTGTTGTCTGTGTGTCTATAGTGTCTGTCTGTAGTGTCTGTCTGTGTGTCTGTGTATGTCTATGTGTCTGTAGTGTCTGTCTGTGTGTCTGTGTATGTCTGTGTGTCTGTGTGCTGTGTGTCTGTAGTGTCTGTCTGTGTGTCTGTGTGCTGTCTGTGTGTCTGTAGTGTCTGTCTGTAGTGTCTGTCTGTGTGTGTGTATGTCTATGTGTCTGTAGTGTCTGTCTGTGTGTCTGTGTATGTCTGTGTGTCTGTGTGCTGTCTGTCTGTCTGTAGTGTCTGTCTGTAGTATCTGCCTGTAGTGTCTGTCTGCATGTCTGTGTATGTCTATGTGTCTGTAGTGTCTGTGTATGTCTGTGTGTCTGTGTGCTGTGTGTCTGTAGTGTCTGTCTGTGTGTCTGTGTGCTGTCTGTGTGTCTGTACCAGGTCGTATGCAATGCTGTCAGCTGTGTAGGTCACGTCTCCGCCACCTCAGACAGGTTCCTGAGCAGGTCCGAAGCCATGGGGACCTCTCTGCCCTTTCATAGTCACCCCACGTCCCTCCCACGGAGGAAGGACTTCTATCTACATAGCACTTGAGGAACTGCTTGGCTTTCTGGAAGAACACACACACACACACACACACACACACGTATCAGTCTTTTCAGATTTAACAGGCTGGGCGGGTTCTTCTGTCCGATCTGATAATAGCAGCCAGTTGCTGGAAATGGTCTGTGGGCTCTTACCTGATTCTTTCTTCTGTGCTCAGAACTCGGAGGGTGGGACCGTCCACCTGGGGAAGGAGCCCTGCCCGCCTACCTTGCCCTGGAGCTGGTCCCGGAGGCGGAGGGCGGCGCCCAGGGCCGCCTGCAGCTCCCGGCCTGCGGACCCCTGGTCCCTGAGCTGGCACTGCAGAGTCAGCACCTGGTGGCGCAGCTGCCCCACGCGCAGCCTGAGGTCCTCCTCCGAAGTCTCGGCCGCCGGGTCCTGGAGCTGTGGGCGTCACAGACACGAATGACATTCGTAGGTCACCTTCCAAGTGATTTGCCTTAGCAAATTCAACTGTTTTCTGCTGACGTTTTCCTCACAGTTGCAAACTTGGAGAAAATAAAGTAGCAGAACTCACTGCAAATCCTATGAGCCAGTGTGATCACCGTTACTGTGCATGTATTTTCCTCCGATTTCCCACTGTGCTCTCACGATGTGCTCACCTGAGGGTGTTGCCTGTGCGGGCCACGGATAGGGGGGTTCTGGGGGGGGCAGGGAACTGCAGAATAACATTCTAAAATGTTATTTTCCAAAAATAATGTTTTCATGTGTATTTTCAAAACTATGCTACATAGCATGGCATTTCAGTCTGATTTAATAGATGCAGGTCACCGTTACACTGGAACACGGTGTGATGAGTGAAATTTAAGGTTCAATCCAGTTACGAGATGCTTATTACGCTGAAGCTTCATAGGGTACTTATAGGAACCCAAAGATACTTTTTAAAGTTTTCCTAAGTCAGTGCCAAGTGGCCTCCCGCTGGGCGGGCCCCAGGCAAGCGGCTTGCCGGACATCAGCAGGGAACATGGGGGGGCGGGGCTGAGAAGGGGGGGCTGTGGGACGTGGATTCAGTGGTCGGGACACTGCGGCCCCAGTGCTTCTGGGGTCTGCTCTTTATTGTTTAAATGACACACAGACACACGGCGTGCACACGCGTCCTTGCGTGCCCACACACCTAGTGTTCTGGGTAACAGTCAGTATCAACCTCTGTGCTGCTGCCTGGAGCCAGGCCAGGGGCTTGTCTGCGTCACTGAATCAGGCCGACAGACAGTCCTGGGGCAGACACGGCCCTTGGCCTGTTACCTGCTCAGACTCGTCTGACATCCGCTGCTAACACTGGGGCTGTGGGGCAGGCCGTCGCTCGGAAGTCCCGGGCACACCTCTGATTCTGTCCCTGAGCCCCGCAGAGAGGGAACCGTGGGGCCCGGAAGCTCAGACACCTCCCGATGCCCTCCCCGCGTTGCGGGGGTCTGCCTTTCCCTGAGCCCCGCAGAGAGGGAACCGTGGGGCCCGGAAGCTCAGACACCCCCCGATGCCCTCCCCGCGTTGCGGGGGTCTGCCTTTCACAGAGGCCCACGGTGAGTGTCTCTTCCACTCACTGTGTGAACAGCCGGGCGGGGACCCTGCGCTGCTCTGGAGGGGGACAAGAAGGTGGAGGAGAGTGTGGGAGAGCACCCCCGTGACTCAGTGGCTGGTAGGCGTCCCTCTTGTTAGTAAGGAACACAACAGAATGTGTTTTTTAATCCTCATCCGAGGACATTTTTCCATTTTTTGTACAGACAGAGCGGGAGGGAGAGAGAGGAAGAGAGAGAGGGAAACATCGATGTGAAAGGGACACATCGAGTGGCTGCCACCCGCACGACCAACCAGGGCCGGGGACAAACTGCAACCGAGGTACATGCCCTTAGCGGGAACCAAACCCGGGTCTCTCCGGACCACAGGTGGACGCTCTAACCGCTGAGTCAAACCTGCCAGGGCCAGAATGTGTGTTTTTAATTAGTGGACATTCAGAGAGCATGGGCCTGAGACTCACAGGCTAGGCCCCGTGGAGAACAGGTGGGCACCCATACAGTCCCATGAAAACCAGCTCCACGCAAAACAGCGTGGACGGTCCCGGGGGGCAGGGCCTCTGCTGCCTCCCCCTCTCCGGCAGTGACATGGCAGAGGCTCTGTCCCGGTGTCCTGAGACAGATCAGGGCAGGGCGGTGTGGGCATCGGCCCTGCCTGGCACCTGGGACCCACCACAGGCCTGCCCAGCGAGCGGCCCCGTGACTCACTGGCTTCCTCCCAGACATGCGCACAGGCCCCAGCTGTGGGCAGCTTGGGCCCTTGGGACCCGTCTGGGTGGGGAGACTGATGCGGAAGTGGGCCTTCTGAACATGGCAGGAGGAGCCAGGAGGCTGCAGGAGCCTGAAGGAGGCCCTAAACCCAGGGCTGTGGTGGCACATGTGTGACCACCATTCTTCGAGTGGGGATTTCCAAGGTACGAGTACTCCCACAAGGCCAGCTGCAGGCTGCCGACACAGCGCCACAACGCAGGGTTGGGAGGAGGCGGGCATGAGCCGCCCGTGCACTGGCCTGTCCTTGGGCCTGGGAGGAGCCGCCCCGCCGTGAGTCCAGAGGATGAGCCCGGAGGCAGGGGCCCATCAAAAGTACAGGCGCGTGGAAGGCGGGGACACCGAAGGCGGGGGGCGCAGATACAACAGCGGAGGCTCCCCAGGAGCCAGACTATCGCTCACCAAGAGGAATTTGGATTAAGCCACGTCAAATCATGGTCAGGTTTGTGACCTAGGCGGAGGGGACGGGGAAGCTTTCTTCACCTTCTGCCTCCCGTCCATCAACAAATCCCACTGATTCCAACTCTAGGTTTGGTTTAGATCCTCTCTTCTGATTCCAAATGCCCCCACTCCCTGTGTCTCTTCATCTCTTCATCTCTCGGTGATACACTGATACACGTGATACACTGCAAAGTCTTTCGTACACTGTATACACTGTATCCGCCTGCCCCTTTCCTCACAGTGGAAACCGCACCGTGTTGTTCTCCATCTCAGAGCCCTCCAGCTGCGCCCGTGCACTTGGAAATGATCGTAGCTCACTGAGACCTGTCTCAGGACAACGATTCCAACCCCTCTGAGCACCCTCACCCTGCCCACCGTGATCCAGCCGCACTGGCTGCTTCAGTGTTCTCAGTAACCCAGGCTCATTCCTGCCGCCCGGCCCGGCCCGGTGCTCCCCCTGCCCGGAGCTCCCCCTGCCCGGTGCTGCCCCCTGCCCGGAGCTCCCCCCTGCCCGGTGCTCCCCCCTGCCCCGGAAGCTCCCCCCTGGCCCGGAGCTGCCCCTGCCCGGAGCGCACCCCTGCCCGGAGCTGCCCCTGCCCGTGGGCTGTCCCCCTGCGGCTCCCCCTGCCCGGTGCTGCCCCCTGCCCGGTGCTCCCCCTGCCCGGTGCTGCCCCCTGCCCGGAGCTCCCCCCTGCCCGGAGCTCCCCCTGCCCGGTGCTGCCCCTGCCCGGAGCTCCCCCCTGCCCGGTGCTCCCCCCTGCCCGGAGCTCCCCCCTGCCCGGTGCTCCCCCCTGCCCGGAGCTCCCCCCTGCCCGGTGCTCCCCCCTGCCCGGAGCTCCCCCCTGCCCGGTGCTCCCCCCTGCCCGGAGCTCCCCCCTGCCCGGTGCTGCCCCTGCCCGGTGCTCCCCCCTGCCCGGTGCTCCCCCCTGCCCGGAGCTGCCCCTGCCCGGTGCTGCCCCCTGCCCGGTGCTGCCCCTGCCCGGTGCTCCCCCCTGCCCGGTGCTCCCCCCTGCCCGGTGCTCCCCCCTGCCCGGTGCTGCCCCTGCCCGGTGCTGCCCCTGCCCGGTGCTCCCCCCTGCCCGTGCTCCCCCCTGCCCGGTGTCCCCCCTGCCCGGAGTCCCCCACTGCCCGGTGCTCCCCCCTGCCCGGTGCTCCCCCCTGCCCGGAGCTCCCCCTGCCCGGTGCTCCCCATGCCCGGAGCTCCCCCTGCCCGGAGCTCCCCCTGCCCGGTGCTCCCCCTGGCCGGTGCTGCCCCTGCCCGGTACCCCCCTGCCCGGTGCTCCCGCCTGCCCCGAGCTCCCCCCTGCCCGGTGCTCCCCCCTGCCCGGTGGCTCCCCCCCCTGCCGGTGCTCCCCCCTGCCGGTGCTCCCCCCTGCCCGGTGCTCCCCCCTGCCCGGTGCTCCCCCCTGCCCGGTGCTGCCCCTGCCCGGTGCTCCCCCCTGCCCGGAGCTCCCCCCTGCCCGGGATACGCTCATCTGCTGCTCCTTTCAGACTCTGAAACCCTCAGCTCAATACTCACCCCTTTGGAGTTCCATCTCCTACCAGGTCTGACGAGCTGGGGTCGGACAATGATCAAATCTGGGGGGCCCTGGCCGGTTTGCTCAGCGGTTAGAGCGTCGGCCTGCGGTCCAGAGAGACCCGGGTTCGGCTCCCTCTAAGGGCACGTACCTCAGCTGCAGTTTATCCCCGGCCCTGGTTGGGTCGTACGGGGGGCAACTACTCGATGTGTCCCTTTCACGTCGATGTTTCTCTCTCTCTCTCTCTCTCTCTTCCTCGCTCTCCCTCCCACTCTATCTGAACAAAAAATGGAAAAAATGTCCTCAGGTGAGGATTAAAAAAAGAAAATCTGGGTGGAGTCTACAAAAGTGATTCTTTGTAGGCACGGACTGTGAAACAGCCCAGGACCACAGTCCTCAAGAAAAAGGGCACACAACAAGGTGAGCCCCACCTTCTCCTGGGTTTCTCTCTGGAACATTTTCTAAACCACGGTTCAGCCCAAGCTGAACACGGCGGTCCTGCTGGGTGGAAGAATCGGACTGGAGCTCAGAAAGGCTTTGACGGCTGGGTTTGCGGGATAAAGTGACAGGGAGAAGAACGCCGCAGAGAAGAAAACTAGATGCGGTCTCAGCAGTACCCCGTGGGCCCTTGGCCGGATCGCTAGCTGGGGAGCTTGGTGCAGGATGTGGCCTAGCAGAGAACCACCGCTGGGAGGTCGGTTACTAAAGAGATTCCAGAGGTCACGCAGGTGGCCAGGCCGAAGGGGAGAGTCCTGGAGGACGTCCTGGGAACTCAGCTGAGAGCGCGGAAAGGCTGTGCCCAAGAGCGAGCACCGTGCTGTGGGAGCACAGTCCAGCCCGGGACTGAGGGCACAGCTGACCCACACCTGTGCAGGGAGAGGGGTCTGCTGGCCATTCCACCGCCTGCCAGACCACATCCGCTCAACGTCCTCCAGAGGAAGATAATGCTCGGGAATCTCTACAACACGTCCTGTACAATGTCCAACATGGAATTTAAAAAAATTACTAGACATGTTAGGAGGCAGGAAAAGGGATTTAACCAAGAAATAGAATACTCAACAGAAACAGACCCAGAGATGATCCAGATATTGGAGTCAGCAGACAAGATCTTCCAAATAACTCTGATTATATATGTATTTTTAAATAACTCTGATTATATATGTATTTTTCAAACACAGGAAACATAGACAAAATGGATCAAAAGGTAAGTAGTTCAACAAAGATTCAGAATCTCTTAAAAAGGATAAAATGGGTATTCTAGAACTGCAATAAATGCAATAAACAAAATAAGGAACTCATTGGATGGATTTATCAGAAGACAGGATGCAGTGCAACACAGGGTAATAAAAGACAGGTCAATAGAAAATTCAAACCAACGCACAGAGAGCAAGAAACAGAACAGTTCCAAAAGATGTGGAATACAGGTAAAAAAAAAAAGCCTGGATTTTTAGAAGTAGGGAGAAAAAATAGGACAAAACAAAATATTTTAAGAAATAATAGTCAAGAATTTTCCAAATCTGATAAAAGACAGGACTCTATAATTTCAAGAAGCTCAGAAAAACAAACAAACAGACAAAAAACCCACACACAGGCCAATCATAGTCCAAGTGCCAAATCCCAAAGATAAAAAGGAAATCTTAAAAGTAGTCAGAGATAAATCAAACAAAAAGCAATGACAATTAGCACTAATTTTGCCAGAACACAATGGAGTGAGCTCTTTAAATTGCCCAAAGAGCCCTGGTTGGTTTGGCTCAGTGGACCAAAGAGTCACAGGTTTGATTCTGGTTAAGGGCACGTGTCTTGGTTGCGGTTCATCCCTGGCCCTGGTTGCGGTCATGTGGGAGGCAACCAGTCGATGTGTTCCTCTCGCATCGATGTTTCTCTCTCTCTCCCTTTCTCTCTCTCTCAGTCCCTCTCTCTCCCTCCCACTCTATCTGAAGATGAATGGAAAAGTATCCTCAGGTGAGGATTAAAAAAAAAAGTGCCCGAAGAGGGAGAATATTTGCCTGCCTAAAATTCTAAATCCAAAGGAAAAAACAACTTTAAAAAAAATTTTTTTTTATTGATTATAGAGAGAAGGGAAGAGAGAGGCGGAGAGAGATAGAAACATCAATGGGAGAGAACATCAAGTGGCTGCCTCCTGCATGCCCCCCACTGGGGATCGGGCCCACAACCTGGGCATGTGCCCTGACCCAGAATCGAAACAGGGACCTCTTGGTGCAGGGTCGACGCTCCACCACTGAGCCACACCAGTCGGGCGGAGAAAACAACTTTTAAAAGTAGAGGCGAGGACTGTTTTCCTAGGAAGAACTTGAGGGAAGCAGCCACCCCAACAGCGAGAAACAACGAGGGGAGAGAGACAGATCGACATAGAATATCACCGACTGTTCAAAACAACAATGATGACAAGGCCTTTGAGGCTTGTTGTACGTAGAAGTAAAATACATGGCAAAATAAACAATAAAAAGAAGAAAAAATAAGTGAACTTAAACCACCAAAACATTTTTGCATTACTTGCAACATGGTGAAAGTTCTAGTTCAAGGTGAATTTTAATAATTAATAGATTCATTTTAGGATTTTCTTTTTTAAATCTTCACCGAGGATATTTTCTCAAATATCTTCAGATAAAGTGGGAAGGAGGGAGAGAGAGAGAAACATAGACGTGAGAGGGACATATCCGCTGGTTGCCTCCTGTACAACCCTGACCAAGGCCGGGGACAAACCGTAACCGAGGTATGTGCCCTTGACTGGAATCGAACCTGCAACTCGTTGGTCCAAGGGCTGACGCTCCAACGGCTGAGCCAAACCAGCCAGGACTTATTTTGGAATTTTTAGTGTAAACATTTAATTAATAGATTCATTTGGGGATTTTTAGGGTAACTAACTAAAATAAGCTATTAGAATGAAAAGGGATAATAAGAACCATTTTATTAATAACAAAAACAAAGACAGGAAAGGAGGAATAAAAGAAAACAAATAGAACAAATGGCCGGAAAGTAGACATAAACCCAGTTTATCTTATGTATATGCTGTTTCTAAAAAACACACTGCAGCTATAAAGACACAGATAGGTTGCAAGCAAAAAAGTGAATGGTATAAAAACCATGTATACCATGAAACACTGAAAAATATATATTATTATACCTATACTTATAAGTATAAAAATATTATGATATAACAAAAAGGAACTGATGCATCTACTTTAATATCAGACGAAGTAAACTTTGGGGCAAGAAGTATTACAGAGCCTGGCTGGCGTGGCTCGGTTAGGTGTCGAGCCTAACCTGGTCAGGGCACATGCCCTGGTAGTGGGCTCGATCCCTGGCTGGGGGCATGCAGATGGCAGCTGATTGATGTTATACTCTCACATCGATGTTTCTCTCTCTCTCCCTCTCCCTTTCTCTCTCTAAATATCAATAAACTGTTCTTAAAAAAGAAAAAGAAGTGTGAGAGCTAATGAAAGACATTTGATCATGATAGAAGAATCCATGCAGCAGGAATACAGAATAATCCTAAATATCTATGTAGCTCATAAATGATTTCAAAATATATTAATTAAAACTAATATAACTCAGAAAAGAAATACACAAATGCAGAGTTGGAGATTTCAAAGGGGATCTGGGTAAATGACAAAACCAATAGACAACACATCAGTAAAGATACAGAAGATGTGATTAGCACAATTAACCAGCCTGATCTAAGTAATACTCAGCAACCACGGAATATTCATTTTTTATAGGATATTTACAAAATAGACCACAGCCTGGTCAATAAAACAAATCTCAACAAATTTTAAAAGCTTAAAATAATATAGTGTATGTTTTCCGACAACAGTGAAAAAAAACCAGAGATCAATAACAAAAATATAACTAAAAAACTCCACAGGTGCTTGGAAATTCAGCAACATGCTTCTAAATAACCTGTACATCAAGGAAGAAATCACAGCAGAAATTAGAAACTACTTTGAATTGAGCAGACATAAAAAGTACAACATATCAAAATATGTGGGGTGCAGCCAAAGTGGCTCTTAGAGGGAAATGCATAGACTACAAAAGAGTTCAAAAATCAGTGATCTCCACTTTCAACACAGGAAGCAAGGAAAAGAACAGCCGATTAAACCAAAAGAAAATAATGAAGATATAAGCAGAAACCAATGAAATGAAACACAGATATACCATAAAGAAAACCAACAGATAATCTTTTTAAATGATTGAGAAACTTGTTGAGAGAGAAGACGAAGGAGAAAGGAGGGAAGGAAGGAGGGAGGAAGGGAGGGAGGGATGAGAGGAGAGGAAAAGGGGTTGAGAGGAAGAGACAGATACAGAAAATTAATATGAATGGATACGAAGAGCTCAACACCAAATGTCCCACAGACACCCCACAGTGTCATGAGCTTTTCGTCCTAGGAGTCCTGAAAATCACAGATGGTCCACAGACGAGGAAAACAACTCGGAAGTTCGTACCTTGGCTCTAAGTGGCAAGTGTAGTCAGTACAGATCTGGGTCTGAACCCTGACTGATCAAGTTCTACCTCCCACAGCTCTGTCCACGGCCCCTCCCTCGCCCCCGTGTGCAGAATTACCACTCGGGCTGCTTGAAAGACCCCTTGATCTGAACGTACACGCCCTGGTCTTAAAGTGTGAACATGCCCTCCATGTGCCCCCAGACACCAACTTGAACAGCCTACAGAGAGGGGCAGGCTGGCGTCCTATGTCTCAGGGGAGAATGGGGACTCTGGAGCCAGGCTGCCCAGGTGCACGTCCCGGCAACGGCCCTGCAAGCAGCGTGACTTTGGGCAAGTCACTTAACTTCTCTGTGCCTGTGGGTTCTCATCTGATCGGTGGAGGCAGTGGCTGCACGTCCCTCCCAGGGCTGCTGGAGGGCTGGGAGTGGGGGTGGCCAGCAGCCTAGAAAGTTAGCAAGAGGTGAGGACGCAGCTATGCAGAGGCAGCCTACCTGGGGGCCACTGCTCAGGGGCCTCGGAGCTCCCCCTTGGTCTGCAGAGCGCCACGGTGCGTCCTCCTCTTTGTCCAAATGTGCCTCTTGTACTGCCATCCCGCCGCCATCTGCTTGCAGAGCACCGGATACATCGGCACTTCTCCCGGCCAACGAGGGAGCAGCCGACTCAGTTCCGCATCTGGGGTTCTCTGTGCCGGAGGACGGTCCCGTCCTGCCTCCAGCCAGACCCGGTTCCTTTTCCGAGGGCGGCCCGTGGTCTCCCATAGTCAGATGCTCTGGAAGCGGAGTCATCGGCACCGCCCTTTCTACAGCGTCCGCCTTGCCCATCGCCTCCTTGCTTTGTCCCGGGAGGCGCTCCTCGGCTCCCCCAAAACGCCCCCCATCTGTGCTCATCCCCAAGGCGACTTCCCTCTCCAGGACGCTGATCCTACGCAGCAGGTGTGCATTCTCCCCCCGTAAGGCCCCGATCATGTCTTCTATTCCCAGCACGACATCCTTGACCAGCTCTTTGTAACTGACCCCAAGCTCGGAAATCAGCGCCCTGAGCTCCCGGTTCTCCTGGGTGACGCCCTGGGCCAGGCCCTTGCACCTCCTGGTGCTCTCAGACATGGCTTTCTGGAGCTGGCCCAGGCCCCTTCGCAGCTGTCCGTTTTCCTCTTCGAGCGCGGAAATTCTGCTGTAACTTTTCCCATTGCAGTCTTCAAGGTCGGCGATGACCTGCCGGTACTGGTCCAGCTCGCTCTTCAGGTGGGAGACGTCTCCTGCCAGCGCGCTGTTGTCCCGTTCGAGGGCGCAGATTTTGTTTACGTTTCTCTCCCTCTCGGTCTGGAGGGCTCGGATTTTTTTATGGCATCTCTCTTGGTCTCTCTGGAGTTGGACGTTGTCATGGAAAACTCTGCTTCTCTCCTTCTTCAGCCCAGACACGAGCTGATGCAGTCTGCTCCTGGCTCTCTCCAGAGCTCTCGACGGCTGGCAGAGGCTCTGGCCCCGCTCGGAGGGCCCCCCTGGGCCCAGGCGCAGGTCCTCCAAACCGGGCCCCATCCCTGGAAGAACGTGGCCCGTTCCCAGGGCCTCGGTCTCTCCTGGCTTCACACCTCCACGACTCTCCTGGGGGTGCGCTTCCTTCGCAGGACAAGTATCCAAGCCCTGATTTGCTGAAACCTGCTGAGGATCCACGTGCTCCTGGCCACTGGTCCATCTTGCAGCAAAGCTCCCGACCTCTGCCGCCCACGTGCAAGCTTCCCACCCACGACCCCCGATCCCTGGGGCCAGCAGGGACAGCTGCCGGAAGCAAGCCTCCATCTCCGCCGCGAAGGCGTCTATGGTGAGCGCAGACCTGTCCTGTCCTTTGCGTGGGGCCCTCGAGGGACTGGGGGGCTCGGCTCCCTCGGGTGAGAATGCCAATCTGGGGGGCAGTGGCAAACCTCCCTCTTCCACTGAGAGAAGTGTTTCCTTGGCCTGCCACTCCTTAGAGCCCCGGCTGGACCCTCCCAGACCCTGCTCCTCGTCCCCTGGCCCGCCCTCCCCGGGGCTGCCCTCGAGCCACAGTGCAGTGTTTGCAGGCCAGACCTGGTCTCCCCCCTGGCCCTGGACTCTCCTGGTGGCTCTGTCCTGCTCTGCAGGGCGCTGGGCACCTGCTGGAGACGGCCCTTTGGCACCATGAGCCCTGAAGAAGGTGGCTGGGGCGGCCGCTTCCTCCTCCGCTGACGAAGGCCCTCCTAGGAGGCCCCAGACATGCTCTTCTGCCTGCCTCGTCCTGCTCAGGGACTGGGGACCCTCTGTGCACATGGAGGCCTCCCCCAGCAGAGGCAGGGGGCGCTCCTGCCTGAGACAAGGGCAGAAGGCAGCGGCTGGGGACTCAGAAGCCCCGAGTTTGTCCTGCAGGCCTTCTAGGATGTCAACATCCTCCCCTAAGCTCTCCTGACGGCTTTCCTGATGTCGCTGGCACCGGTCACCAAGGTCTTCCCCCTCCCTGCCCCAAGTCCTCCTGGCCCCCCAGGCCGTAGGTCTCCACTCTGGGGCTCCTCCTCCCTCCTCCCAAGGGCCGTCTAGACCCCTGGACCCTAAGTGATGCAATATCTGTAGGGACCCCTGGCGGAGGGAGGCATTGCGGCTCCTAGTCTGATGCTGGACCCCGCAGGGCTGTCCTATGGCTCCGAGAGCGGGCAGGGGCCCGGCGCCCAGCACCCACTGGATTTGGAACTCTTCTGGAGAAGCCTCCTGCAGCAGAAGGGGGGCTCGGTCACCGGCAGGCCCCCAGGGAGGGAGCATGGACGCCTGCACCAGGAAGGACGCCTGGGCTGGGGCAGCTGCTAGCCTCTGCTCTGAGACCCAGGCCAGCTCCACGGGCAGGAGGGAGCCATCTGGGCACGGCCCCGAGGGGCAGCCACAGAGGAGGAGGAGCGTCTGCTCATGCAAGCTGGGCTCGGCTGGAGCAGCCTAGGGAAGAAAAGAGACAACAAGGTGATAACCTTCTGCCATTTATCCCCTCCCCACCTCTCACCCAGCCACACAGGCTTCCTAACACACCAACCCTGCTACCACCCCAGGGCCTTTGCACCTGCTCTTCCCTCTGCCCAGAACGTCCTTCCCCAGATCTCCTCATGGCTCGCCTCCCGCTTCATTCACATGTCAACTCAAACGTCACTTCCTCAACAGGCTCCCCAAGCTCTTCCACCACTTTCGTCCAGATTTCCTGCCCAGCGCCCTCCCCTCCCACATTCCATGTCTCAGTGTCACACCCCGATAGCCCCACTTCCGACACAGGCCACATGGGCTTTTCAAGTGGAAGACGCTGCGGCGAAAGCCAGCGCTCGCTGGACAGTGCCCAGCCCCGGGCCCAGCGCTCAGGCGCCCCCTGGTGCGTGGCTGCCACACTGCACAGTGAGGCGCGGGACGTGTCTGGTTCACAGGAGCTTCCAGTGGGCAGCGGGTGCAGGCAGTTCCCTGGGGCAGGCCCTGGCCTGGAAGAGTGCTGGGCACAGAGGTGCTCCAGATATTTTTGAATATATGTATATTCTCTTTATTCAGTACATTTACAGAGAGGATAACAGGCCCAGCTCACAGAACAGAGCCAGGCTGGGCTGGGGCCTCAGCCTGCAGGGGGCTCCCATGTGACCACGGCCTGGCCAGTCTCCTACCTGCCTGCACCTGTTCTCCTGTCTGTCCAACTCCATCGTCCTGCCTGTGCAGCCGGGATCCAGCTTTTCCATGAAGCCCTCCCAACCCCATCGGATGGCTTTGGGTGTGGCAGCACACACACACGCACGCACGCACACATACACACACAAACACAGTCACACACACATGTACACACACATGTACATACACATGTGCGCGCACACATACAAACACATGCACACCCATGCATGCACACATACAAACACACAGATGCAAACATGCACAGAAACATACCCGTGTACACATATACACATGCACACACAAACACATGTGCATACACACATACAAACACATGCACGCACACCCATACAAACACAGTAGCACACAAACACACATGCAAACACACACGTGCACGCACACACACGCAGCCCCTGGGGCAGGGTTGAATGCGTGAAGAAGCAGGAAGACCCCCTCTGCTGAGGCCACAGAACCCCACCAGGGCCAGTAGGCCCAAGTTCCGCTCAAGTGTCCCTGTCCTTTACCCGCAGGAAGCGGAGGTGAGGAAGGGCTCCTGCCCCTCAGGGGGCGCAGAGACCGAGCTCGGGGCTAGCCCCCCGGGCTGTGTGGCCTTGGGGGTCACTGCAGCTCCTCCTCTCTGAGCGGGGTCCTGGCGCCCGCCTCTCAGCTGGCCACAAGTTCCCACAGGATGGGCACACAGCAGGGAGCCCCTTTCTGCCCACTCCGGTCTCAGGGTACCCATCCCAGCTGCTCAGTGCTCCCTCTCAACATTTCCAGAATGTCCTTCCACACCCAGAGGGTCTTCCCCCTTCTCCCACCTCCCGCTGGGCACACAGGAGGCTGACCAGCCCCGGCTGGCGCCCTGGCACACAGACAGCCTCTGGCCTTACCCGTCCGCGGTCAGGTCCCGCCCGGTCTCCCAGGGGCCCAGCTGTGGTCTCCAGGCTCGGCTCTGACGCAGGGGGGCCGCGTCCAGCCCCGGCGCTGCCCCAGGCGCAGGGCCCGTCGGCGGGCTGGCCTGCGGGGGAGAGGACCCGAGGACCCGAGGGTTACAAAGGCCCCTGGGAGCTTCCCAGCGTGTCACCAGTGGCCTGCCCCGTGGTCAGGGCTGATGGCACTGCTCGCTGGCTCGCGGCCTAGGAGTCCCCGAAGGCGGCCGACCACCACCACTGCCCACCAGGGGGGGAAACCGAGGCTCAGGCGGGAATGACTGTCCCGAGGAGCAGAGCATCTGGGTCTGGCGGCCACTTCCTCTGACCACAGACTCGTGCAGGAGGCAAAACCCGTGACTCCTCTCTCCCCGGCTTCCTCGTGGGCCACCCGGGCCGATCCCCGCCCCAGCCCCACGGTTGGCGTGTGGACGAAGGAGCTGCCTCCCAGGCTTCACTGCCAGACAGACCCTGAGCCCTTCTCCAAGGAAAGCTTGACCCTGTCGACGGGTCAGCTTGGCGCCCCAGAGGGGGACAGAGGGTGAGCAGCGCCGACGGGCATAAACGACCCCTCATCTGTGAACTGCTCTTGGCCTTGGAGTAAACCAGACACCCAGGCGGACAGGGTGGCTTTGGGGGTCCTGAGAGCAGTGACTTCTGCAGAAGGGACCCTGGAGCTGCGGCCGAGACTCATCAGAGACACAGGTTCCCATCGGGGACAAGTTAGGGACAAGGGGCGTCTGAGCCCCAGCGGCTCCCAGACCTGCCACCTGAGCTGTCCCTGGGGCTAGAACAGCTCCTGGTCATTAGACGGTCTTCTGGGAGGACAGCCCCGCCTGTGCCCGGGCTGGCATGCACGTCAGGGCACTGCAGAGCCTGGTCCCCTCTTCGCCAGCCGTGTGAACAAGCGTCACCCCGTCTCTGAGCCTCGGCTTCCTGTCTGCAGCGTAGGGACGACCCCCTGCACCATCAGGGCGCTGTAACTGAGCTGGCCCGTCGGTGGGTGTCCCTGCAAACACCGCGTGCCCCACGCACCGTGGCTCCCACACACCTGCTGAGGCCAGTGGTCCCAGGGCACCAGGGGGGTGGACAGGGCTCTGCCACCCTTGGCCTCCGCAGACCTCCAGCACCTCCTCTCGGGGCAGGAGCGGCCATCCCTCCTGAACACCGCCCTGGGTGTCCTGCAGGAAGACACAGAGTCAGGGAGCTGAGTGTCCACTCCAAGCCCGTCCCCATGGGCCCCTCCAACGACCCCAGAAGGGAACCCACGGGAAACCGAGGCTTAGGGAGCAGAGGGCGCATGGCCCGGCCGGGCAGCCCTGTCCTCTGCTCCTGGTCCTACAGCCCAGACCGGCTCCTGTTGGCACCCAGGCTGCATGTCAGACGACAAGGGCTCTCTGCCAGCCAAGCCCCTGGCTCCACCCCTGCTCCTTTGGTTCCCCGCGTCCACCAGGAGGGGCAGTGCCCGGGGGCTCTGGGCAGTCCTGTCCCTCAGCTGCAACAAGTCCCCAAGGTGAGACGCTCCCGGCCCAGCACCAACGGCACAGCGCCCTCACCAGGCTGCTGCAGGAGGTGTGGGCCCTCCGCAAGCCTGGGCTCTGACCCACTACCCACCTGGTGCCTGCCCTGGGCTACTTCTGACCGGGTCTAAGGGTGCTGTTTGCTGCCCCCCACCCCACCAGACCCTGAGGTCCTCGGGGGGACTCGGCTTCATTCAGTCCACACCCTCACCTTAGCCCACAGCAGGTGCTTAGCAGGTGTGGTGACTGATGGACAGGCCGACCCTGCAGAAGGCAGGTGTCCCAGACTTACTAGTGAACTTATGGGAAACATTTACTACGTTCCTACCAGGTGTCAGGTGCTGTTCTATGCGAGGGACACTGAAGTGAACAGGTAATGCCCCTCCCCCTCCTCGCCTGTCTCCCAGGTCCTCACCTGCTCCCAGCAGGCCCCTGCATCCACTACTGCTGGGCCTCCTGCTCCGGGCTGCCAGGGAGACCCTCCCAAATGCCCCAAGGCTGCCCTCGGTTCCCTCAGGCTCCGGGCTCAGTCCCCGTGCTGAGATCAGGCGCTGGGGCCCCCGCGGGCTGTCATGGGCCTACCTGACACTCCCCCCACCCCCCGGCCCTGGCTCCACTCACTGTGGCCTCCTTCCCCCCACCAGCCCCACCCCGGCCCTGGCTCCGGCTGCCTCTGCACACCCGTGTGTGCGGCTCCTTCTGCCTGGCTGGCACGTCCTCCTGGGGAAGGGTATGCATCTCCTGCTGCTGCTGGGCAATGCCCCCCACTCACCTCGATCTCAGCCCCTCCCTCCCACATCAGCCGAACCAGAAGCTGGGCCCAGGTGGCTCCCTGTTTCCAACCCTCTGGGCCGCGCGGGGGAGAAGCCCTCCGAGCCCAGCTTGGCCTCAGCCCTCCCTCATCTCTGCTCCTCCCACAGTCTCCCCCTCCTGCCCCAGGGCCTTGTACGCTGGCCTGCTGCAGGCCCCCTCCCCGCCTCTCTGTCCGCCTCACCTGCTCCCCTCTGGCCTGCTGCAGGCCCCCTCCCCGCCCCTCTGTCCGCCTCACCTGCTCCCCTCTGGCCTCAGCTTAAGGCCAAGTCCTAACGAGGCCAGCCCCGGTCTCCCCCAAACTGGTCCTGTTCCCTCCCTCCCAGTGTCTCCTCTCACGCAGGTCCGTGGCTAGTGTCTGGGGGATGGTGTGTGTTATGTCCAGTCCCCTCACAGACCAGCGACCTCAACCCTGGTGGCACCTTGGAATCGCCCAGAGCTTAAACCAGTGCAAACTCAGCCCAGACCAGCTGAGCCAGAGGGGCCTGGGCACCGGCCCTCCGCTCTGCCCTGCACGCAGCCCTGGGTTCTGCCTCCTGTTTGCGTCCACTTGGCTCCCACTCGAGCAGAAACGAACATTTTTGTCTGCAGCGTAACATCACTGTTGGAACAGAGGGGAGACGAAATGAAGGAGAGAGAGGAGACGGGGGAGCAAATGAGGGAAAAAGACAGCGGCACAGGAGGGAGAGAGGGACAGACAGACATTCAAAGTGAGCGGCGAGGCGGGGGGCGGGGGGAGGAGAAAACCGCAGATGGACAAGGAGGGGTGGGCGGGCGGTGTCCAAGGCCGTGGTCGGTCTCTACTTGGATTTTATTCCAATACCCAAGTTGACTTTGACCCCGTTTAACACATTCTTACTGAGCAACTACTGTGCGCAGGCCCTGTCGTGGGGTTGGGGACACAGCCATGAGTAACACACAACAGACTGAGGAGGTGCGGTCCAGTGGGGGGCACCCTGGAAGACAATGCCACCCCCTTTCATTTCACAAGTGACGGAATCAACACTCAGCGTGGGGGAGTGAGTTGTCCGCGGTCACAGCA